TAGGCAGGGATAGTAGCATCACCTGTTATTAATATTGCCTATCACCTCCCATAATAAAGCCCTGTTTTTACTTATAACTTGCCAAATTTTAACCATTTGGGCTGAGGTTAGGTTTTCCCGGAAATGGCTGATTTCAGTTGCTGTGGGATAGGGTGGAGGTGGACACATGAATTATCTCTGCTGTGCTCTGTGACCCTCTTGACTGGGAGCTGGAGGTGAGGAGACGGGGACCAACTGGGCAAGGAGGTCAGGCTGGGAGCTTAGGGAAGGAAAGGCTAGGAATAGTTGGCAAGAGCATTAGAGCTGGGAGCAACTGAGGGAAATGGGTGAACTGAAAACCAGTTGGCTGGAGAAGAGCGCTGAGAATGGATGGGGAGCTGCGGGCTGAAGTGGGGCTGGGACTAGTTGGACAAGGAGCCAGGGAACTGGGAACCAGTGAAGGAAACTGGATCAGGAGACAGCACAGACAGATCTGATAAGGAGATGGGGAGGGAAACTGGGATTGCATGGTGCCCAATGGAATCAGTTTGTGATGGATCTACATTAGCTTTTAGATGAGCTTCAGCTGCCCTTTCATTCAGCTTCAGTGTGATCTTGCTCAAGTTGGAAATAATGGTAGCTGGCCAGAGTGGAGATAACTCAGCATCGGTTTCTTCAGACCATGTCTGAGTGAGGTTCTTCTGCAAAAGCTCAAAGCTGACATGTGGACTGCACAATTTACAAAATCCCCTGGGCTCGCAGACGAGTTCTGCTGCTGTATCATCCTGCCTCCCGACACGGGCCACATTTTGGCCGCTCAGCTGTGTCTGTGAGGTGAGCAGCAGCCCCGGCTCTCTTTGCTTCTGGTGGAGGCAGGCTTTTGCTTTTCTTCAGCGTCATGCTTGGTTTTTTAATATAGCTACAGACATTTTATTCACTGATTGCTCTTTATGCTGTGCTAATTGAAATATGCACAACTGCCAAAAACAATTACATTCAAATTGCCTTGTCAATGCCTTTACTGCCAGATAAATGCTTTTATAGACTCATTTATGGAGGGTAATGGTAAGGAGGCTTTGTTTCCTATTTAAAGTTAACAGTTCAATTTTGAATTGGGTCTAAATTAAATTGTGAGCTGGAAATCTGTCTTAAATTTTGTTCCTTAAATTGCATTAAATTAACATTCAATATGTTCCTTTTAAAATACAGTTGCTGCATTATCTGCTGCCAAAGGATTGCAACTGTAAAGATCAGCAGCATGGTCTCATGGTCTGAGTAACACTGGAGAGTCAGGACTCCTGGGTTCTTTTTTTAAGCTCTACTACTGACCCATGGTGTTGTAGAAACCTATGGAAAAGCTCTTCACCTCCTTGTATTTTTCTCATTAAATAATAATAATTCCTACCTTGCAGTGAGTCTCCGTCAATGTTTTATGAACCACAGTGAGGTTTTCAGATGAAAGGTCACTGCTCTGTGCCGTAGAAGTGCAAAATATTACTGGATTCTTACCTAGGCTTTCTGAGAAAACTTGCAGTTCTTCCTGACTGTAAAAAACAGCAGGACGATGGAGCAAGCTTCCAAGGCAAATTGAGAGATCTACTTTATTGGAGGTTTTCAAAAGGAGGCGAAGTGGGTTTCTGTCTGGGTAGTTTAGGAATAGTGTATCCAGCGGGGCTTGGTCTATGGCCATTGAGGCCCCTTCCAACTGCAGGATTCTACCACGCTCTGATTTGCAACTGATGGGCATTTGAATCCTGCCAGCATTTGGCAGGCATGCTAATAAACAGTTAGGCAGTGGTTCCTGGGGATTTTCAAAGAACAAAATCCCAGTAATTTTAATATAAGTGTAAACAGTAGGGAGCTTGGCCATTCCAAAGTCACGAATTTGCATGTTAAAGTTGCAGCCTTTCATAACTCCACTCTTGGGCACACAATGGAGTCAAAACCAAACAGTTTTTTACATAAGATTAGCTTTTAAAATTGTTAGTTGTATGTTCTGATCATAAGGAATACATGGATCTGTCTGGTAATCATATTTGTAAGGTGCCCGTTTCCTGAAAAAAACTTCCTTGACATCACGTTAGTGTGGGTCATCTCTCATGGCGTATCTTGTGCAAATGGAAAACACCACTGGAAGTTGCTGAAGAAAGTCCTGGGCTGGTATAATTTGTCCTACCAGGTTTGTCCTCATCTGAACAATATTGTCCTTCAAATTTCTCGTGCAAAGTCCTAGCGGATAATGGAACTACAGAAATAATAGGTGGGAGCATGATGGTCATCTTTCTGCCAAGACAGGCTGTGTTTCCTTCTTTATAGTACACCCACTGGATACATTAACTGTATTTTTCACTAGATCCTTTCAGTAGTCTCTTTGTAATGGCATGTATGGACAATCCAATGGCATATTTTTTGCAAGAGCAGAAATAACAGCTCTGGTGTCCTGGCATCATTTCATAATTCCCTTCTCCTTACTTACACTTACCATTTAGTTTCAGTCCCTTGTGTTATTCACTTTCTGTCTTGACTCATGGTGCTCTCTCTGATTCTTCCACACACATCCTAGGTGGCTTCTGTCATACTGAATGTAATAGGTTGAATTCTTGTAATAACTGCCCCTTAGCCAGTTCAGACAAAAGGCAAGGTTCATCTTCTGGTCTAGGCCATTTCTTGCTTTGCCTGGCCCTGCAACAAGTTTGTTTAAAAGTCTTAGGTTCTCAATCTTATCTTTAGAGGCCTTTAACCAGTTAACCTGGGAACAAGAAAAACGACCCTTAGGCAAACGTTCCGAGAGATCGAATCCTGGAAGCTTTGGAAAGGGGGCTGGGAAAGATGGGTCACCACAGTGTTGCGGAAAATTTCCCAAAAAGCAAGAATTTAAGATAAACTGAATAGTCAGCAGACAAATTCCGTCGCGGAAGACAAAATGACCACCCAGTAAAAATCTGTTGAGTAAGATCCGAGCCCAATTTGGGAGCAGTGACAGGTTTGGGTCGGAGGGGCCCAAGACGGCAACTCACCCAGTATATAACCTGTAACCTACAGTCCCAATTTGGAGGTAACCTCACTTGCAGAACACCGAAGGAAGAATCGCAAGTGCGGGCCGGATCAGACTGATCACCTGAACCGCCCTCTCCGTGAACAAGACCTCCCGTTCATGCTGAAGCCGCGGGGCGCCCGAGTGGGACCGAAGGAAGGGGACTTGTTCCTATCACTGCTGAGACCAACCCTAAAACCATAACTAAAGAATGAAAGTATACCTACCTGGGGATTTGGTTTCTAAGAATTCTAGGATTGTGAGTATCTGTTTTTGTAATACTAATTCTTATAGCATTGTTTGGGAAGGAAGTGCATTTGGAGCATTGTTTCTAATATATGTAGTTGTTGTGTTTTTAATGTTTGTGGTATTTCTTAAAGCTAAGCAGTGTTATATGCGTAGTAAGGAGTTTTAATAAACATGTTAAAGGAATAAAAATCGTGATCATTGTGAAAACGAACAGGGCTCAACCTCACCCTGCCAGCTTACTGATTTGAACCAATATATCGTGTGGGACTTCTCTCTATCCTGTAAACCCTTAAGAGACAGCTTCTACTTTGATGACCCATCTAAACCCTCAGGTGCATATTTTCTCAGCCTCACACCTTCATTCAGCCTGGCTCAACTCTGCTGCTCACCAAAAGGGCTGTTCGTTTGACTTGGTTTTCACCTGTCACTCTCCCTCTCGCATCTTCCTCTCTTCAACCCAACACCTGTCCTCTTTCAGCAGTGCCCAACAGTCCCCAGTCCCACGCTGTCTCTTTTTGAGATCTGTTGTCTGCTCTCGGCCTTCTCTTCTCTGCTGTCTCCTCCCATTAATAGGAGCTGCCAATTTCCTCCACGAGTCATTCACCTTCACTCCTGACTCTTTGACCGTTCTCTTCCATGTCAAGGTCTGTCCTGCTGAGCTTCCAACTTTTGCACCTTCTACTCCTGCTCTCATGGTTGGAGAATCTCTGGTGGGAATCCTGTGCCCAGGCTGACCTTTTCCACTGCAGCGTCCTTCTCTCCTCCTTCACCTCTGTATCTCCATCATGAACATCTTCTAGAATCATGGACAAGGAGGGTTGAAGGGAGCTCAGGAGGTCACATCTAGTTCACCCCCTTGCTCGAAGCAGGACCAGCCCCAACTACATCATCCCAGCCATGTTTCCAGCTTAACTGAAACCCATGCCCATGGTAAAAGACCTCACAAACCTCCCGGTCCTCTCTCCACTTTTCTTATCACACTGATTCTTGTTTATTTCTTCCAAGAGAAAATAGACACGTCCAACATGAGTTCCCCCCTGCCCTGTGGCTTGGCTTCCTTCTCCTTTGTTCTCAAACATCTCTCTTCTCCTCCTGTTCTGCCCCAGATACAGAAACTCCTAGTTTGCTCTTGTCCTCCAACCACTCCATTCACCCTATCCCACTCCGCCTGAATTCCCTTCTTTTCCCCCTCATCCCTCCCTGTATTCATCTTCTGAACATTTCACATCCCCCTGCTCTTTCCCTTCACAATATGTGTAAGTGTGGTGGTATGCAATGAAGTCCCACCCCTTTTTATCCTGCGGTGACTTCTTTGTATGTCCACCCCCTTAACTGCACAACCTGGACATCATCTTGGCTTAGCACCTTTGTCTAGGTCGTCCATTTAGGCTTTCCCTCTGTCTTGCAGTTTCTTTCTGCATAGCATCTTTCAGATAGGACTTTCTGTGCCAGCCCTGTTGTGTCATCCATCGCTGCCCCTCCCAATTGGTTGCATCAATCATAAGCTACATGTCTTCCTTCCAAAGCCTTTCATGGCTTATCCAGGTCCTACCTCATCTCTCGTTCACTGTTGAAGGGTCTGTGCCTTCCTCATGCCAGCCTCTGTGGCTGACGGAGCTATTAATACTCCAGCCATTATTATTGGTACGGACACTGGCCAGGTCTTCACGGTTTGTTTTTTCTGCTCTGGTTATGCTTGGAAATAGCACCTTGTTCACTTTGCATGATCTTGTTTCAGAGCCACAGTGAGCAACTAGCCTCAGGAGGGAAGCTGCAACAGTCAAAGCCCACTAGAAGCCTCTCGAGAAAACGGGTAAGATGCTCATTTATAGTTACCAAATACCAAACTTTCTAGGTGGCTGTATTTCTGTGCATTCGTGAGAACCAAAATCGATTCCATTAGAATCACAGCCGTGTGTTGTCTAATTGGCGACATGCAGATTTATTTAGCAATAGAGGGTGGCTCTAGATGTCCATTAAAAAGGAAATTTTCATTGGGAAATAAGAGCATAAGATGGAAATTTAAACTAAAACCCATTTAAGGGAAACCACAACTTGACAAGATTAAAAATGCAAACTGACTCCAGACAAGAGGTATGAGTAAAGTACATGCTGTCATTAGAAACGTGAAAGCAGAGCTCTGTTTCTTGTGGTTAAATGCAGAACTGTAACAGTTAGACCAATGTTATGTTTTGACTCTTCTTACTGAAAGACAAATACGTGCTTTGGATGGTGTCTTTTTCTATTCTGTGTGTAGAGCTGGCCCTCAGCTGACGTGAGTCAGCCTAGCTCCACTGACTTTAGCAGAGTTAAGTGAATTACATCAGCTGACGCATTTTACAAGGCTCATCACTTGTGCTGGAAGTAAGCAGCTTGTCATCTCCTTATGACATATCTCGATCCCATTCAGTATTCCTTTTTAGCTCCTGAAAGAGGGAATGTTGTTTGTCTGGTGAAACACTGACACCCTAGTTATCAGCTTCTGTATGGAAATGGCATCACACTAAATTGGCACTGAATTGTAAGTGATAATCCTATTATTGAGGCAGAATTCTGTTTCTTTATGTGCCTGAGTGACAGTTCACTAACTGTGTAAGTAGCTTTTTTGGCACTTTAGGAACACGTTTCAATTCTGTTACTCTGAGTGTAGCATGTGCATGTGCACTGAGCATGCTCAATAGGCCACGTGCTGGCTGGGAGGTACACCAGTACATGCAGGTAGTCAGTATACAATCACAAGTCATAAAATTGTAGCTGGACAAAAAAACAGGACCAGCAACTGTTACATGGACTCAGAGGACAACCCCCTTGTGTTTTAGCCCCAGTAGCTGAGCAGTTAGGTCACTCACCCAGAAAGTAGGAGACCAAGGGTTATAGCTCCTCTGTTTCCAAATGTGTTTGAATGTGTGTCTCTCCAGCCACCCAAAGTAGTACGTTAGCCACCTAGCCAGAGATCAGGCATTATCCAGTCATGTCTTCAGTGCATGCACACTGCACACTGCACAGGTAATAGAATTGCAAACTGCGCATAATGCCAAAAATCTACTTCCGTGGCTGCTTAGCCACACAGGTGATAATAGAATTGCCCCCTAAGTGTCCTGATTCAGTCTGTGAGTAAACTTCAACAATTAACAATGTTACTTTTACCCTAGTCTCTTGAGAGACAGAAATCCTAGTCCTTCTTCCTGTTTGCCTTTATTTATTTTCTTTCCTGTTGTGAAAATTAAAACATGCAAACTGGTCAAACTGGCATTTGTCCAATACAGCACTCTTAGGTGCATGCTCATTAGAATAAATTGTCTAGTTTCATAGTGTTTTGTGCTGCTACAGTGTTGTATAAATAACAAAGCTGTACTGGAGCACCATCACTCAGAAAGCATGACAATAACCTTGGGCTGTCTTTGGCTCTTGGAGTTGTCTTCTCGTTCTCCTGCTTCCCAATGGAGTCTCTTCCTGGCTGTTTGGTAGGATGGGGAAGGAGCCTGAAGATTTTTTTCAGCTCCATCATAAATATCATGCAGTGTTTCTGTAATGGGCATCTTATGTACTCTACCAAAACCCAGACGTGCACATTCAGTTCAGCTTGAGCTAGACTCTGGCCTGAGCAAGTGCTGTGGACTGCGTATCACTGGGCTAACTGGTATGTAGTGTAATAGGCTGTATTTAAAGGAAAATACAAAAGCTGTATTTAAAGGAAAAGTTGATGTATTTGAACTTCAAGTCATTATACATTTCAGTAGAATGGAGAAATGTTGCCCCCAAGCTGCTAAACTCTTTAATGAGCGACTCCATGCTCTGCAAATATACTAATGAATCAGAATTTAAATGCAGGCCTGCAGCCGACCATCACTTTTCCGTTAATAATCTTGTGTCATGACATCATCAGGTACCTTATGCCAAGAAATGCTTTGGTGTGGTGTTGCAGTGGCAGTTAGATTTTTGTTTCTGCTTCAGTGTGAAACCTCCTAGCCTTTTCAAGAAAATATTTAACATTCCTCTGCCAAAACTATCATACCTAAATCTTTATAGCAGATCTAATTTGTACTGTAGCTTGTGCAACAATATTTCAAAGTAACTGTGAGTCCTTTACTAAGTCTTTGTACAGGCTTGGTCTAGTGAATGATGGCTCATTTAGAGGTTGGTTGTAGTAGGATCAAGGGAACTAAAACTACCATCCTTTAAATCATAGGATTATATGAAAGTAGGGCTGGAAGGGACCTCACAAGGTCATCTAGTCCAGCTGCCTGCTCAAGGCAGGACCAGCCATGACCAAACCATCCCAGTCAAATGTCTGTCTAACCTGTTCTTGATCATTTCCAAGGATGGGGATTCCACAATTTCTCTAGGTAACCTGTTGCAGTGCTTGACTGTCCTCATAGTAAAAAAGCTCTTCCTAATCTCCAGCCTAAAACCCCCCTGCTACAGGTTAAGGTCATTGCTCCTAGTCCTGTCCTATGCAGCCACAGAGAAAAGTCCATCTCCATCCTCTCTACAATTACCCTTCAAGTATTTGAAGACTGTTCTTAAATCTCCCCCTCAGTCTTGTCTTCTTCAGGCTAAATACCTCTAGTTCTTTCAACCTTTCCTCATCAATCTTGCTTCCCAGCTCCCTGATCATTTTTGTTGCAGTCACAAAGGTGAGGTAAAATATGTTGCTCCTGTTTTGAGAAGAGGAATAAATGATTTTTCAGATGGGGCAGCCAGCTTCTGCGGTAATGAAGGGCCTGATCCTGGGAAGTGCTGAGTACTTTACACCTCATTTGATGGGGCTGGAGCTCTCTAGCACTTTTATAGCCCAGGCAGGCAGCTCTGTGTTAGCTAAGACTGGCCAAAGCATCTTTTGGACAAGTCAGATTAGGAACAGCTACTTTCTCGTGCCCTCACCTAGGACTGGAGAAATACTGCTTTGGTAAAGAAAGGAACTGTCATAATTTCAGTGTATAATGGGTTCATTGTTTCCATGCAAGGATGAAGATGCATCCACTGAAGTGGGAGAAGGGCAAGATGAATGGGCACAAGCAAAAACTCTAATCAAACCCCCAGATCAGCTGGAGCTGACTGAGACAGTGAGTAAAACAGCACGTGTTTTTTCCAAAAAACCTTCCCAAACCCCAAAGCTGTCCTTTTAGATGGCTGCTTTTAGGGCAGTCTCTGCTATAGCAGACACTTCAGCTAGTTTTCATTGTGCAATATCTGCAGTTTAAACTGCAGCACTACCTTGAGCTACAAACTACATTAAAAGCAGCTTCGATGATAAGGCCTGGGAGAATGTTACCCCTTGTAGAATAGTTCATGAGCTGTAACACAAACCCAGAGGACCCCAGGGACCAGCAGGAGTCCAAGGGTCTTGTGTATGGAGGGTTCCAGGGCTCTGGAGTATTCCCTGGCAAAATAGCTCGAACAGAGCTGCAGAGCCAGGGACTCCAGACCATCCTCATCCTCTTACAAACCTGGTATGGCACTGCCTCATGTAGTATTGCACCAGGAGCAACCCCTCCACTCATTAATGGCACTGTTAATAACTCATGGCTATACTGAAAACACTCTCTGCAGGGCTTAGTGCTCTCCAGGCATTGGGACTGTGCATGCTTCAAGCCAGGATCTGTCTTCCTCAGTGTGAAGAAAACCTCCTCTTTTTAAGTGCTGTCACAATCTCAGTAGTATCCAACAGTATTAGTATGATGAAAGAATCTGAGTAGTCCCATTCAAGGTAATGGAAATGCCTGGAAGAATAAACGTTCTCCCAGTGGTGTTTGCCAAACAGGGATTTAACTTGATACCATTGCTTCTAGTTTCACATCACATACATGACATTTCATATTACTTTATATTCTGCAGGAACTTTACTATTGATGTTGTTTAGTTGGTGGCATAAGCTTTGGGTAAGGTATCTGCTGCAGTTTGAACACAGTAGAAGTAAGGAACATGCTGATCTTTCTGTACTAGTGGTACTCACCTGCTGGCCGCATGGGCCAGGTGAGGGGCAGGGGACCAGTCTGTGGGCTGGTTGGAGCCCTGTGTGCCAGGATTGAGCCTTTGGGCCCCATCTTGCCAGGTGTCTGCCTTGTGCATCATGGTTAGTCCCTGGGGGCCTGGTGCCATCCCTTACCACCAAGATTGGGTCCCAGGGGTCTGGCATTGCCCCCCTTCCATCCCTGCATGCCAGGATTGGGCCCTCGGGGCCTGGCGCTGGCATCATGTACTGGGATTGGGGCTTGGTGCCACCCCCACCACCTGGGATCAGGTGCCTGATCTAATATGCAGGGTCTTGGCCCCCCATGGGTCCAGAAATTTGGCAGCAGAGGAGCAATGCAAACCACAGGCCAGATATGGCACATGGGCCAGGGGTTGAACACCTCTGTTCTATATTATCTACTTCGGCATTAAGACCTGAGTTGTATCAATGACCCTGTTTTTCCATTCCAAAGGAATTAAAAGAGGAGTTTACACGTATCCTGACTGCCAATAACCCTCATGCTCCGCAGAATATCGTCAGATACAGCTTTAAAGTAAGTGCTGTTGACAAGCAGATTTGAGTTTGGATAAGACCGGGCTGAGATTTGTCTGCCATTTGTTGATTTTGTGCTTGGCTTTAATTTATAGCAAGGAAACATGACTTTTCTTAAGGCTTTATTTTATTTCATGTATCCTTGCAGCAGTTCTCCAGGGGTTGTTGCAAAGGGTAAAAATCTATAAATGTTAACATAATTGTGCATGCAGAAATAGCTAAAAACAGTTTCTCAGCCAAGTCTGACAGTGAGCATAATTAGTGCAGCTAATCTCAGGCGATAAATCCTTCCATTCAATAGTGGTCAGGGGGAAGGGAGGATTCTTTACACAGTCCCTAGGGCATTTATAACTCAGGAAGATCCAGGCTCATGAAATTTCATCAGAGTTCCAAAATGTGTCTGGTGCAATCAATGCTAATTAAGGGCCAAGTTGTGGCAAGCAGCCACTAACAGGAGTAAGGTGTATGGCAAGGATTCCTGAGGAGGCTCTGAGCAGAAGTGTGCTGCAGGAAGCCCAGCTTCTCCTGCAACGTTGTAGGGTACAGAGGGCAGGCGCTTTGTCCATCACCCTGGTGCAGGCTGCTCCCTTAATGTGTCTAGCTAGCAATGTGGGCAGCTGCAGGGTGAGGGTGGAGCCAGGGCCCTGCTTCCTCCACCCCTTCCTTGGATGGTTTGCACTCTCAGGGCACATGGATAAAGCACTCTCTGCACTCCATTAGATAACTGGAGGTTGACTGTCCCTGGCCCTCAAGGCAGTGCTAAGTAGGGTGAGTCCTACCTCCCCTCTGTGAATAGGTACAAATCTCAAGAACAGTCCTCCCTCCCTAGCTTGCTCCTGTGGCCATATGACTGAGGGCAAACAAAACTCAGAAGCATCCGAACCCCAAGCCTCTGGGCTTGGGCCTGCACATAGGATGCCTGCACAATGATTTGGAAACATCTGAAGCCCCAGGTGGGGGTGGAGGATGTTTGCCAGTAGTAGGGCCACATGTGGTTCTTGAATGACTCACGGATTGGGAATTGATTTGGCTCATTTGGCTTGGAACACAAAACATTTAAAAAAAAAAAAAAAAAAGTCTGACCCTCTGCTGCTCCCTAATAGAAAAGAGATGGAATTGGCAAGAGGAGAATCAGGCCTGTAAGAGGCCAAGATGGGGTCCCATTCTCTTCTGCTTTCTGTTGGTGTGATTCCCCTTGACCCCGCTGTTAGTGTTATGGTGTAATGGAGAGAACAGTGTGGCCCAGGGTGATGAGTTACTGATGAATCTGTGATCTCCTCAATGACTGCAGTGGACTCTACCCAGAGCTGTGAGACTAGGCTTGAAGCTGGAGTACAGTTGGGACTGAATGCAACAGTATTTTGCTGCAGGGCACATACTATATGAGTTACGTGAAGTCTGCAGTGACTTCCTATTGCTTTTGGATACAACTCAAGGTGTTGATCTTGATCTACAAAGCCCTGTGTGGTTTAAGTCTAAGGATATGTCTGCAGTCTAGCATGGACATTTGCAAGCTATCTTTAAGCTAGTTGGCTCTGGTACCAGTAGACACCTAACTGTGGCAGCCCAGGCTTTAGCATGGACTAGTCACCTAAGTAGTATCTCTGCTTCTCTGGCAGGTTTTGCAGCCATTATAAGTACAGCAGGGACTTCAGTATAGACATACCCATGGCCACTTAGCTGTTTCAATGATGCAAAGATATGAGGTCAGCTGGTGTGAGGTTCCTTTTGATAGTCTCTAGATTTGGACATCTGGGCTCAGGCATTCCCTTGTGGGCCCTTACCTCACACAGATCGGAAAACCTGACCCAGGTTTATACCTCTTACTGGTTTTGTGTGATGCTGGGGTTGGTGTTGGGGGAACTGCTATCCCTGACAGTGCTGCTTAATACAACACCAGGCCAAAGACTACAGTCTGATCTGATTTCCAACAAAGGAGTCCATTTAGTTTCCAAAAGCCACATCAACTAAGGGGAAGCAGAGAGTTCAGCTTAATCATCAGACCTTAGGGGGAGCCAGTTGTACTGATACTTCTGCCCTATACACTGAATACAACTAATATAAAGGTCACTGAAAGTGCTTGAGTTTGAGAGAGAAAAATGCGATGGAATATGCCCTAAAAAGGATATCGTCCCCAGCTTCCACCAAACTGGAAGCACTTGGGCCTAGCATAACTTGCCTGCATGTCTAGTTCAGTAAGCAGAAAGAAGCCCATTGATCCCAGTGGGTTTGAATCAAACCCTAACCCCTTCTTTTGAACATGGATAGACTTTCTTGGAATAGCCCTGATTTTTCTCCCTATGTTGTAAATCTGTGGCCTTGCCTAGCTTTTAGACTTAGATAGTCATTTCATTTCCTGTTGGTGTGGAAACTGCAGTGTGACAGGTGTGAATGGTAAATGGGCCTGGTAATCAGTATAAACCTGTTCAGTTCTAGCATCTGAAGGCAAAAGTGATGTACCGATTAAAATAATCAGGCTGCCTCAATTTGAGTCTTTTGAGTTTTTGTTTTCCTTCTGCAGGAACGGACATACAAACAGATAAGCAGTGTGGACCAGATGGCCATCCACTTCTCCCTGGATGGAAACCTGTTGTCCTTAGACTCAGATGAAGGCAGACGACAGAGTGCCAGAAGAGCTACAATGACAGGCTGGTTTATAAGATGATACAGGGACTATTGTTAAGCAAAGAATTGATGTAATTTAATGTGGGTATGGGTGAATGAGGACACAGCAAGCGGAGGCCAGAACATGGAGCAGTCTTTATTTTTCCAAGCAGGATTTCCCAGGATAGATATAGCCACAGGCAGTGGGTATACCTATGCTGCAGGCTGGATGGGCTACTTTGCCCAGCCTCCACTGAGCTCAGTGCTGCTGTGCCTGCATAGTGACTGCATTGCACACATCCATAGTTCTCTGAGAGAGTGGTCACATTTCTTCCTCTTCACTCAGGCAAGCATAAACCATGTGAACACAATTAACCTGTAGAGCAGATTGGGCTGTAACATAAGGGTTTCCCATGGGTCCCTAACATGCCCAGATCAAGAGCTTTGTGAGCTGTGATGTGAATCTAGGCAGGCAGACAGCTTTGTTGCAGTCTCATTCTAGTAATGTTGCTAACACCCTCTATGACTTTGTGTGAGCTAGGTCACTATTTCAGATCATGCCTCCATAAAATGAGATCAGTGGGTATGAGCCAGATTGGCCCCTTGGGTGCCTTAATTTAGGTGTTGCAGTTCCTGAAACTGAGGCAGATGGCCCCAGGAGGATGACCTGGTATTGGGTGCATAAGCTCTTACACAGTCAGTCAGTGTGGAGAATTAAGAACATCTGAAGGGTTGCGCAGGGTTAGGCTCCTGGGTACTATACAGAGAATGGGAGGTGTTAGGTGCCTCCAAAGGGTGACTTGGAGAATCTAGAGGTGGCCAGCAGGAAACACTAGGGGCAAATGTGTTTCTGAATTATTGCATGTCTCTGGAGCTGAAGTGCCTGACTTGGGGATGCGCATTGGATGCCTATTTTCACTGTAGATTGGGTCAGCTAGTCCTATACTGAAGGTGTGTGCCTAACTGCTAGCCTGGTGGTTACAGCACTTACCTTTGAAGTGGGAGACCCAGATTCTTTAGCTTAAAGGATTCAAACCCGCATCTTGTGCCTCCTAGCAAAGTGCCCTAACCCCTGAATAGTGCCCTACCCATAGAATAGTTTGGGAGAGGGCAGCCTCCATTCCTTCTGCTGGTCAAGCATGCAAGAGTTATTGGGCCAGAAAGAGCAAGTACAAAGGTTGCTTATTGTGGTTAGAGCACTTTGCTGGGAAAAGGAAGTCCCTCCCAGCAAAGTGCTGTAACCACTAGATGACTTGCTCTTGCATGCTCTTCTCCTGGCACCACAGTAATAGCATGCCTTTCTGCTTAGTGGTGCAGGTTCTTCAGTAGAAAGGGTGGAGGGGCCTCAGACCATAGGTGTGGTAGGTCTGTTTTGATGCTGAAAAAATTGGAAAGTGTATGGGATACCTAGGAGAAGAAGCCTGTCAGCCAGAGCTGATAAACTTCTCTCTTCCATTTTCAGAACTGACCCCTGTTGGGTCCTCCATGGTAGAAATTGAAGAGATAGAGGTTATAGAAGAAAGCAGCAAAGAAGATCTACTGGTAATGGCCCCCAGCTACCTGTGAACTGTCAGCTTGATTTTAAATATTAGAGTCTAAGGCCAGTTTGCGCATTAGAATCACGACCAGAAGATGCTCCATGGCTGATGTCTTCATGACTTATCTGGCCCCAGCAGATATGTCTCATGCAGATTCTATAAGGTGGCTACAGCTCCCTCTCCACTCTTTAATGAGGAAGTGTTGCCCATGGAGATGAGAGGTTTTGGCATGCCTTCCTGTGTCTTGATCCCAGTGCTCCAGCTGGGTGGACCTGCGATCTGTGTCTGCAGCATATCGGCTGTAACGAATCAGCCTTATTTTATACAAAGGACATGTGACCCTTGGGCTGCTTGCATGTCACTGCACCAGCACTGAGAGAAGTCTGGAGGCCATTGTTTTTTTACTATTGCAATAATCAGTTATTTCATTTGTCTACTTCTGAGGGAGCTATTTCAAGACATCTTATTGCTTTGTGATAGAAGATCCTTTATGTTCTTTTTCTAGGCACCTACAAAAGAACCAGCCAGCCTTACAAAAATGTGGGAGAAACCCCACAATTTACTAACAAGCAAATCACATGTTCAAAATAAGACAATTTTCTAATTTTGTAGGAAGAACAAAGAAACAAGAGTGTAGCAGATACAGAAGCAGAGAGTGGGATCCACAAGCATCAAACATAAGCCAGTTAAATAAACCAGACTTGTGGCCCTGTGGCGGGTGCAGGGATCTCAAATAATGCCTGTAACACGGCAGGGTTATTCGGATCCCACCACTAACACCACATGTGGCGGGTGCAGAGATCCCACCTCAGGAACACAGCTGGGTATTCGTATCCCTCCGCTGTTTCCACCACGTGAGGCGGGCCAGTAGGGGGTGCTCCTGCATTGAGCCACCCACCTCCCTGCGCCCAACCACCTTCCAGGCTCCGAATGCCTCCCTAGGGGC